GTTTACAAAGATGCACTTAAATAAATCTATATGTTCATCATAGCATATTTCTTGAAACAAATCACTTTTTTCTAAAGCAATGTTTGTGTATATATGTATATGTACACACACACACACATATACAATTAGAGCTTAGTTAACAACTCTTAAGAAAGTTAGGGTCACCTTGGATGTACTCCTGATCTTCCTTTGGGTGGTAACACAACATGTTAGCATTTTACTTTTAAAATTAGCAGAAGTGTGTACTTTCTGTGACAAGCAGCTTTTAAAGCAGATGTTACAATGTGATTATCACGTTTTCTGTATGCCTGTCTGGGTGTGCCATACGCTGCCAAGCCAAGTTTTCTCAGCATTGTGGACCCCTCACCAGGGAAGGACGTTCTTTCAGGTCTGAAGATTTGGGGCCTGGAGGCAAGACCTGGGATTCGTAGCTTTCAGAACTTTCCTGGGTAGAGTTCCATCCCTGGAACCACCTATGGTCTCCCGAATCCCCCCAGGCATGGGGGCGGGGGAGGGTGGAAGGGGGGAACCCCCAATAAGTAAAAGACGCACAAAGTAGAAATTTGAACAAAGACCCATTTGCTACTTTGTTACTTATTGTGTTGCCTCCATTCTAACATCTGTCCTGGGTGCTGTGCAGACGTTGGAGCCGGCGGGGAGGCCTTGTAGACGTTAGAGTCTTATCTGCACGCTTGTTATTGACTTTATTTTCCTGAAGAAGAAACCAGCTAAGGTATCTAAGGTTTATTGATTTGCCTACAGTGATTCAGTGAGTCGGCAGGGAATAGGGAATAAAACCAATTTCCTGGCACCGTTTCCCATGCACATAACCCCTTACCTTGCAATGCCGAGATTGGAAGCCAAGAATCCCTCCCCGAGAATTTGATCAGAAAACATATGAAGGGTGATTCTAAAACCACAGAAGCATTGAGAAAGTCATAAAGATGTATAATATATGATAGCATTTACCGGCTATAAATAGGGAGAGGTGGAGAGAAAATTATAGACCTTGTAAATCCATCGGGTCAAGAGAAATAGAAGCTGCTTAATATTTCATTAAAAATGGATTTTCATAAATTGTACTTTTATATCATTGGGCGAGAGAGACAATCTGTAAGGACTGAGGTGTTGTTATTCATTGCTCTGTGTTATTTATAATTTGAACTGTTATTGAGCCAACACATCTACGAGATAGAGTCTCCCTCGGAGTGGGGCACTCCCCAATGGGCCCCATTTGCAGTTGCTGGTCAGCTGCTGGCCCTCGACGCACTTAAGCTGGGGCAATGAGCAACCCAAACACCCCATTACAAAATGGCCTCTCTGAGAGCAATTCAGTCCTCGCACTAGATGGGTCAAGAAGGCCCTAGACTCTGGGCCCCAGAAGAGACTTTACAAAGCAACTCAAGTATCCCCTCCTTGAACACAGGAGGAAGCGGAGGTGGAGGTATTTGTCCACACTGAGGTTTGAAAGAGCCAGCTTCTGGCTCAGTGGGGTTTGGGTTTAGTCCCGACACTGCACCCCACTCAGACTGGGTGGGGCGTGTTGAAAGAAAAATAAGATGGTATTCCAGGGCTGGAGTGGAAGCTCAGTAGGTAGGGCGTTTGCCTTGCACACGGCTGATCCGGGTTCGATTTCCAGCATCCATATGGTCCCCCGAGCATTGCCAGGAGTAATTCCTGAGTGCATGAGCCAGGAGTAACCCCTGTACATTGCCAGGTGTGACCCAAAAAGAAAAAAAAAAAGATGGTGTTCTTCCAGCGAAGGGGAGAGAGAGAGAGAGAGAGAGAGAGAGAGAGAGAGAGAGAGAGAGAGAGAGAGAGAGAGCACAGGCCAGGTGATTCTGGGCTTCCAGGGCTGGGAGGAGAATGGGCACATGGCAATGACAGAATGAAGTTCAATTTGAACTGTCCAGAACTGCCAAGTCGATATCCTGGGTAGGGGAAATGGTGGGTGGGACTGGGGGTTGCTTCCCCTTTTGGTCAGATGCCACTGTTGGCACAATTCTTGTGTTCACAAAGCATGTGTTCACGCACAATCATAGGAAGGCTGACCCCTCCTCCAACATGTCCATACATACTTGTGCACCCCCCAGATCTACACACGGCCATGCTCACGCCCCCCACCAGCCTCCCAAAGGCTGTCCAGAGACACAGGCGCTGTCAGACAGCAGGGAGAACAGAGAGGTTTCGTGGCGTCGCCTGCCGAGGCTGAGAAAGGAAGGGGTCAGATAAGATAAAATGGGATATTAAAAACACATAAGACGTGCTGTGTTTCTAAACGGTACCAGCGTGGTGTGTGTGCTGTGGATTAGCAGCTGTGTTCAAGTTCAGATCCACTCAACACTCCAATTAGGGATTTACATGGTAAGCCCAGCCCCCTTCCCATGGCCACCCCCCATATCCTGATAGAGGGCCACACACAGCCCCCGTCACCATCCTCAGGGAACAGGCCTGTGGGAGCCCTCCCACTGCTCCCCACACTGTGGAAATGAGCAGAGTGCTTCATTTGCAGCTTCCCTGCCAAACGGAAACAAAACAGAAAACAAACAAAAAGCCTCCGCTTCAGGCTGACTCCTCTGCAGACTGATGAATGCTTTTCCTGGGAGCCAGTTCCTCCATCCCTGCCTCGGAGCCGTGAGCCCGGAAGCCAAGAAAAGGGCAGAGCAGAACTAGGCCTCCGGTTCTTCTTCTCTCCTTCCCACTATCTGCTTGGAGATTCATATCCCAGGGGCTCTGGCGCCTGTCTCCATCCCCTTTCCTACATCTCCCACCTGCCTTCCTCCATCCTTGCTTTGCCTCTGCTTCTCTTGATCCTCCATTCCTGCCCAGGAAGCAGCCTGATGGAGCCTGGGAGAGAGTCGTGGTCAGCCTCTCCCCCTTTGTGGTCAGCAAGGCATCAGAGGAAGCCCTGATGGCCTTAGGATGGGGCAGGAGGTCCCTGGTGGAGGAGAGGGAGCAGCTCGCTGGCCTTATTGACTGGGAGTTCCTCTAGAATAAAACAAGAGGTTTAAACTGAGGACGGGAAGGCTGCACACATCTCTTTTTCCTTCCCTTTGTCTTGAGCAAGCCCTTTCCCCTCATTTGCTTGCAGGAAGTATATTGTCTTTTCCATTCCACCGGCCCCTCCCCAACCCTATCCTCACCAACTGTGGTACCCACACGCTGAGATGCCTCGAACTTAGGACCCCAGCAAGTGGGAAATAAGGATGATTCAAGGGTGCCAAATGGTGGGGTCCTTGTTATGGTTTATGGTGATGAGAGGGCCTCCGTGGTGATTCGCTCTGAGATTCTGGGTCATTCATTCTTTTTTTTTTCTACTGCAAAGAATGTTGTGATTATTATAACTTTTTCCATCTTGCTTTTTTGGTCAGAATTTCACTCTGGAATTATGACATATTGCACCAGATCTTAAGACAAAGAACACTGGACATTAAGAAAGAGGTTCACCCCAGTCTTTACAATCTAGTGTAGTTACTTTTCTTCTTGTGTGTACTCTGCTAGCATTATTGCAAAAACCAAGATGTATTCCTAGTTTCTGCAATTTTAGCACAGTGCTTATACAAGAAGGTCTGGGGCATTCATTCTTTCTTGCTGCTGTCTGAGTGTTTGGCTGCTGGGAATCTGGATATCGCTCAGTGGGGCCTCTTCTCCATGAAGCCCATCACCTGAAGGCTGATGACTCTGAGCCACCAGCAGAAACACTGCAATTGTTTTCTTAAGAACATGAACAGCCTTCTCAAACAGCCTTAGTCCAAAACCATGGCCAGGGAGTTGGATGCAGAGACATACATTCTTGGGTCTGGATAGGTCTTCTCCACATGAGTTTCTCCATAGATTCACAATAATGTTGCTTACTGCCAGGTTGTCTTAAGCATAATGGTGTTCACACAGTCTTGCTGAAAGTTATTCAGATATACCAGTTTTCCGTTCCTCCTGTCCCAGTCCTATTAGGACCCAGACACCTGCGTGTTTTAGGTATCATGAACAAAAACATCAAGTCCCCTCATTCAGGGGAAACCACTAGTTTTGCAGAGTTGGCTGTGGGTCCATTTATAGTCACTTGGTGGTTACATTGTGATCCATAAGTATGAATCAAAAGTGATGGTTGGTGAGTTGATTTTTCCCTGACCCAGGGAAACCAAGAGAAATTCAGATTACTTGCTCTAACTACTTTTTTTTTCTTTAATGGAGAGCATTAAAATTAAAAAAAGCATAAGGTCCATATGGCAGTTATTGATTTGGGCCATCTGGTAAGGCCAGACTTGTTCCTACCATGGAGGGTTAAAGCTACTCCAAAAAGCCTTTCCTCCCCTCAGAGATGCATTGGTCAGATGGGGACAGGGATGGATGGATTTCATTACAAGACTGGGTCTAGAATGAAAGGAAGCTGGAGCGTCTGCACCCTCCTACAAAGACCAGAGACAGCCAAAACATGTTGATTGACATGAGGGCATGAAGGTTAGCGGGTGCCCCCTCACCCTCTTACCCACCCGGTCATGGGGAAGAAGACCTCAAGTAGCTAACAAAAACAGCAAAGCACTTTGCAATGATAAAGTTCCCTGCCATTATTTCTACATCCGTACTTAAGAGTCGAGTTCGGGCTAGTAAGTGAAGCCCACTCTGAAATCCCTAAAAGACAACATTTCCGCTCCATTTCGAAGGGATGGTCTGTATTTTTTCCTCTTTCTCTCCCAGCTTCTGAAAGTGTTTTTCTTTTCAAGGCGTCTTCCGCTGCTTGCTCTCAGCCCAGAGGCAAAATTTTCCTTCCCTCTAAAAGTTTTGGTGAGGACTACATTGTTCTCCAGCTAAAACAGCCTGAGAAATGTAAAGTAGCTCTTCATGGTCATTCTGAATAAAAGCCCAAACTGCAAATCGACTCATTATTCTCACACTGGGGGGGGGGGGGGGGAGTAAAACCCACCAACACTTTCCCACCCCCTTCAGAGATGGCATGGGTGGTGGGATTACAAACAGTGACGTCAACTTGACTTGTGTTTCAGATATTCCAAGCCAACACTGATGCCACGGAAGTGGTGATAAACAAGCTGCATTCACCGCTGCTGACAAGGTTCGTCAGGCTCCGCCCCCAGACCTGGCACACGGGCATCGCCCTCCGCCTGGAGCTCTATGGCTGCCGTGTCACAGGTGAGGTGTGGGGTGGGGGGGAGGCGCGAGCTGACTGTACCCTCCAGTTCCCCTTTCCAGTCCCCTGCAAACAGCATTGCACCGTGGGATTTTTTTTTTGGAAAGCTTGGCGCTAGGATGTATGTCCTTCCTGACTTGAGCTGTTCATCCATCCACCCTGTCCTTCTTGTACCGAGATTTAGGAACCATCGGTTGGTGGTCTTGCTGACCCCCACTGCCCGCTCGACCTGCCACTCTGAGCCCTTTTTCTCAGAAGGACTCCAGGAGCTGGGAACTCTGTTCCATGCTTTGCAGATGAGGAAACTAAGACAGAGACCAAAGGTCGCTCAGCCCCAAAGTGGAGAGCCAGGGCTTTGTTCTCAGCAGTCTGAATTCAAAGGCCCTGCTCTCAGGGGGCATTCAGCTGCTGAGCCACACGATGTCAGGCGCTGATGGGCCCAGACATGTGCGCAGCAGACCTGTCTGTGTGGGCATCTGGGCAAACTAGTCGTAATAAGCCAACAGGCTCCTCAATAAATGTAAAATTTATTTATATTTATACATATCAGTGGTTAGCACTGTAGCACTGTCGCACTGTCCTCCCATTGTTCATCGATTTGCTCGTGCGGGCACCAGTAACATCTCCATCATGAGACTTGTTGTTACTGTGTTTGGCATATTGAATTCGTCATGGGGAGCTTGCCAGGCTTTGCCATGCAGGTGAGATACCCTCAGTAGTTTGCTGGGCTCTCCGAGAGGGGCGGAGGAATCGAAATTGGGTCGGCCAGGTTGGCCGCATGCAAGGCAAACACCCTACCCACTGTGTTATATCACTCCAGGCCTATATCAGTGGTTAATATTAATTATTAAATAATGATGAATAACTAATGAATTAATAAATAATATAATATAATGATAGAATAGACATATCCAAATTGATGAATACCTTGGAACAGAGGCTTGGAATGCTTAGGAACACATTAGGGAGGATCTAACCCTGTAGAGAAGCTCAGAGAGGACTGCCTGGAGGAGGTGATGGTGGAGCGAAGATAAACCGACAGGCATTACTCGGTGACAGCTGGAGGAAACAGGCGCTAGGCAGTGGTAACAGACAGCTTGCTTAATAGTGGCAAGAGTGACCAAGAGAAAGTGAGGGGGGTGGGCCAAGTGCATGGGCTGAGTCAACGGGTGCCATGTGGAAGAGAGAGGGACAGGCCACTGTAGCAGCCAGGTCGCATCTGGAGGTTCAGGGGAGTGAATGAGACATGATGGTAGCAGAGCCTGGCACAGGTCTGCAGAACAGATTTCCTTTTTTATTCTTCCCCCTTTTGTGGGCTCAGCTCAGAGAACAGGCATGTCTTCTTGGGCCTGGATGGTTCTTCAGTGTCTTTTCACCCACTGATCCCCTAGCTCATCATCTGAGTAGCTCTGATAAGGGGTGCACTTCTTTTCTTTTCTTTTCTTCTTTTTTTTTTTTGTAGGGGGGGTTCATACCCAGCGATGCTCAGGGCTCACAGGTTACTCCTGGCTCTGCACTCAGGAATTAATCCTGGCGGTGCTTGGGGGACCATATGGGATTCTGGGAATCGAACCCAGGTCATCTGCGTGCAAGGCAAACGCCCTACTCATTGTGCTATTGCTCCAGCCCCAAGGGATGCATTTCATGTACACACCTCCTTTTCCTCTCCCACAAGTCTCCGAGGTGAGTGGGGCAGGATATCAGGACTCAGAGAGGCTAAGGAGCGTGCCCAGAGTCACCCAGCCCAGAGGTAGCAGAGCTGAGGATGGAAGCCACATTTTCTTAGCACTGATGCCCTGCTCTGGTCACCTTGGCACAGAGAGCAGCCTCCACCTGGGGCTGGGGCTGTCCTCATCCTGCCGAGAGGACTGTTCTCGGTCCCCATTTCCTTGCCAGGCTAACACAGGCTAATCAATGAGCACTTGGTTGAAACTCATTGCTTAGAAGACTGAAGGGTGAGAGCCAGTGGATTTAAAGAAGAGGGGTCACCTGAATGGCGGGGTAGGGGGCTTGGTGCAGGGGGTGGTGGTGGTTAGGATCTGTACTCCCGACTCAGTCCTGCCTTGCTGGGCACTGTTCTTCATGCCCTCTCCATTCCACAAACTCTTCTTGAGGGTATGCTGGATGCTCGGCCCCCCTCTGGCCATGGAGACAGCATCTCAGCAGACCAAGTCTGACTCTGTGAGACTTTTCAGCATCATGGGCAAGATGCTATGATGCAAACCCAAGTGCTGGGTGATGGTAAAGTAGGATGTATGTCCACAAGAAAAGATGTAGCACTGAGGGAAAGCCATGGACCATGGATGGTTAGTTCAAACTTGGGGGCTAGCCTTCCTGAGGAGAGGGTGGTGAGTAATGATTCATGTCAGGGAGGACCTAGGGAAGAGTATCTGGGGAACTAGGAATAGTATGTAGGGGAGACCACAGGCTAGGAAGAATTTGGGAAGAACAGGTGGGAGCAAAGCCCTGACCCCCAAGAAAGTGTCCATTCCTGGACTCAGTTGAGTCCCCCTGCCCACACTGTTTTCAGGGTGGGCTTCAGGGGCTACTGGTGTCACTGACCATGATGGGCGTATGGTAGTCTGAGATGAATCGGACACTATGAGAGCACCCAAGGGACTCCTCTCAGCAACCCCACAAGGTATAGGCTGCTATTAACCTCCTTGATACCTGGGGAAACTGAGGCATAGAGCAGCTTCATCTATGGCAGTAGGTCCAACAGTTGCCATGTGTTCCAGCAGAAATGCCACGCAGATGGTCTGCGTCTGGGGATGTACTCCAGCACAGACAGAGATCAGAGCTGCTAGTTCTGTTTCAGCTCCCGGGGTTGGGAGACTGTCTTCTTGTGAGTAGGGTGTCAGCTGTCTGCCTTGCTTCTCCACAGACGCGCCCTGCTCCAACATGCTGGGCATGCTCTCGGGCCTCATTGCGGACTCCCAGATCTCTGCCTCATCTACTCGCGAATACCTTTGGAGCCCCAGCGTTGCCCGCCTGGTCAGCAGCCGCTCGGGCTGGTTCCCACGAATCCCACAGGCCAAGCCAGGCGAGGAGTGGCTGCAGGTTGACCTGGGAGCGCCCAAGACCGTGAAAGGGGTCATCATCCAGGGTGCCCGTGGGGGAGACAGCATCACGGCCGTGGAAGCCCGGGCGTTTGTACGCAAGTTCAAGGTGGCCTACAGCCTGAATGGCAAGGACTGGGAATACATCCAGGACCCCAGGACCCAGCAGCCAAAGGTAGGTTGTCCCTGAAGGACTGGTCCTTCCCCCACACAGGAAGGTTTGGTAGGGGGTGCCAGTCTCCCTGTCATCTAGACAGTCAGCCCCAAAGTCCTCTAAGTCCAAGAGAGCAACATTGAGAGATGGCCATGTGCCCGCGCTGCGCTCAGTGCCTGCTTTAAACCCTTATTATTTTGACCCTTACACTCTCTCAAAGGCTTATCCTTTCTGACTCCCACTTCATAGATGCCAAAGTGCGAGTCCCACAGGAGATGATGCATGGTTGGAACAGGGTTCAAGATCAAATGGAAGGGGACCCCAGTACCCAGATGGTAGCCCCCACTTGCCATTCTCAAGAGGTTGCTGGCCTTTGTAGCTTCTTTCAGAATTGCTCCTCACAAATTGGCTGGGCATCCAAAGAGGATGTGGGCGTGAGAGGCTCAACTCTAGAAACTAAGGAACGACTTCCAAAAACAATACTGTTTTCCAAATGTGGCCACACTCCTTGATGTTTTTCTACCTTGGCTGGCACAGAGCTGTCCCGCCTCTCGTGCTGGTTGTGCAGAGGCAGGGGAGACTCACTCCAGGCAAGTGCAGACCACACTGCACATCAAAGGAGAGAGGGGCAGTCTTCCACGGTGCGGAGGAGCCCCAGGAAGGAACAGCTGGCCTCGGACCCTCTGTAGGCATTCTGCTCCTCCTCCCCCAGCCCATTACCTCAGAGAAGCAGGACCCTGGGCAGGAAGATCCACTCCACCCCCACCCCGCTGCCCTGCCCCCCACCACCAGGTGCCATGTCTGTGTTTTCTCACCTTTGCAGAGCAAACATTCCCATTCCTCATGCAGGCGGGTTAGACTTTTGCAATAGCCATGCTCAAATCCACGGTGTGATTAGTGTGATTCTAGCTTAGAGTGCCCTTGAGCTCAGTGACTCCACTTTCTGTGAATGGGGTGAAAGTTGGACCACAGACTCCAGGACAGGGAGGTGAGGGTGGGTGACTGACCCATTGTAGGGCCCTTGGGCAGATGATGAATTTAGCCTGCTTGCATCTCCTGACAGCACTCCCCTTTTTGAACCAAGGCTCAGGCCCTGCTGCCAAACATGCTGTTCTCACAACCTTCCTGGATGCTGGGCACACATGGTGTCCGACTGTCCCCCACACCAGCAGTCCCCTAAAAAGGTAGTTCTCAGGGGTGCTCTCAGTGAGATGAATTTGGGACATTCATGGGGAGGATTCTGGTTTTTGAGAGGTGGGATCTCCCAACTGTGCTCCAAAGATCTGGGGGACCCTCTTGCTGATTCTCAGCCAATCTGGCTAGCGGCTCATTGTGGGTAACCCTGTATTTCTGGGGATCTCCATGGCCATCCCAACTGTCCATGTCTAGGTAGCCTGAAGACTCACGTGTGCCACTGAAGACACACATTAGCCTAGAGAAGGGGATGACCACCTGGGACTTCCCCATGGAGACACAGGATGCATATGGCCCCCAACCAGAATGAAGCTCCTTCCCTCTTGGGTAGGCCGTGTTCCATTAGATGGGAACTGGCCCTCCTGGCTCTTCTCTAGACAAGTCCTGCCGAGGACTCATATGGGACCTGGTGTCTAAGCCCTGAGTTTCAGCCCCAGGATAGAAGATAGAACCTGGCAAAGGCCTCTTTCTCCCCACCCCCAACCCACCCCAACCTTTATTTTCCCTGTTTGAGGGCCCCTTGTCATCTTCCAAATACCTTAAAGCCACTGCCTGAGCATGGAGCTGCCATGAATGATAATGGACAGGAACCCGGAGTTGACCCTGAGCTGCATTCTGGTCGGATGAGCAGGGCTGAGAGGAGAAGGAGGGAGAAAGGGAGCTGGGGTGCCCCCACCCAGAAAGGACTGAGTGGTCTGTCTCTGCAGCTGTTTGAAGGGAACATGCACTATGACACCCCTGACATCCGGAGGTTCGATCCTGTCCCAGCCCAGTTTGTAAGAGTGTATCCGGAGAGGTGGTCGCCAGCAGGGATTGGAATGCGGCTGGAAGTGTTGGGCTGTGACTGGACAGGTAAGACCTCCTGCTCACCTTCTCTCCCTCACCCCCATCTCCTTACTCCCCCTGGCTGCCTGGGAGGCGAGAGGACAGACCCTAAAGCCAAGGGGAGACCTCAGGGGTGCAGCCGTCCCTTCAGTGATGCATTATTCCCTTAGCACCCTACGCATCTTGTCACCCCCCCAACCCCTCTTACCTTCTTCTCCAGTCTCAGACCCCAAATGCTTACAGCCTCTGCACTCAGGGCCTCTTGTCAAGCTCTGTATTTCATCTTTATTTTTTTTCTTTTTAGGGATCATTTCAGTTCCCCGCCCCAAGCCTCTCAAAAACAAATCCTAACCACACACCACCCACCCAAATTCAATTAGACCCTGAGTCTTCAGGCCAGAGGGCTGTGGCTGTTGATTTAGGGAAGAGGGGGGAAAAAAAACTCATGATAATACGGTAATCGGTTTGTGTCTGAATCTGGCCTCCAGATGTCTCTGGCCAAGAGACCCGAGTTCTGTGTGGAAGGCACATCTGTAGAAAGCATCTCTCTGATTAGTGGGGGGACACTGGTGTTGGGAGGGAACTGAGGGCAACAGGGTTCCTCCCAATGGGTGGCATGAGCAGGCGAACCCCTAGCCCAGGCAGCCTATTTAAGCTCAGGAAGCCAGGTGGGCCTTCCTTGGTCTTAGAAAGGGCCAGTGCTTCTAAGTGGGTCCAGTACAGCATTCTTCCCCAGCCATCCCTATAGAGCTGCCACTAGCTCTCCCTGGGGCTCCCCGCTGCCTGCAAAAGGAGCTGAGGAGTGGCCACCGCAGGACCCAGAGGAGCAGCAGGTAGGCTGCCCTCACTACCAGCGCCCCAGGTATCTCCATTTTCCTGTCTGAGCCCTACCTCACCTGCTCACCCAGCGGCAGGGTGTGAAGGATTAATAAGGGCATGTCGGGGGAAATGCTCTGGGCTCCCGGGGAGAAAAATACAGCCTCAGTGCAGGCTCTGGTGGCTCCAAGGAGGCCTGTCGAGGCACACAGCCTGGGAGCTGGGCCCAAATTAGCCTCTCTCCGATTAGAGGCTGCCCTGATGATCACCTTTTAGTGGGAAGGCACTCGACATCCCATTACAGAGGGCGAGGCAACGTTTTCCTGCTGCTTGCTGATGATGCGTCTCCTGCACCGTTACGAGTGGAAAACGGCCCCTGCTCCAGCACCCTTCCCCCAAAGCTGGCTGAATTGAGGACCTCCTCAGACTCTAGGGTTCGAGCTGCTGTAGGCACCCAAAAGCTTTCAGGCCAGCTTTCAGAAGTTTTTGACAGTCATCTATAATTTTAAAGCAGTTTGTTCACATCCACATGATGTAGAAGCACATGTGTGAGCATGCGCACACACTCAACACGCACGCATACACGCACGTGCGCGCACACACACATACACATGTATGGGGTAGTACCACTTGTGCCTGCACCCTGAGGACAGATTGCCAAGTGCAAATTCTGCTCCTGTGTAACCTCAGACATGAGGCTTAACGCCTCAGCTTCTCAGGTATCTTAGCTGGAAAAAGGGGGAAGAAATTAGCCTAGCTATATCCTCTGGGGTTGTTATAAATAAGCCGATGAAATAATAGAGATATAGTACCTAGGCAGCCAAAGTACTATACTGACTCCAAAGAAACCAGTTATCATACATAAATGTGTATGGGGAAAAAAACCCCAATAGTTCCCAAAGCAGTGCTCCGAGCATGCTCTGGTTCTTGGAAAAATGCTAGTCATGACCCAATAACACTGAATCCTCAAACTACTTATGAGTGTGACAGGAAGCTTGGGAAAAAACCGCAGCTCTAAGCCAGCTCCTTTTCACAAGTGGGCAAACTGAGTCTCAGAGAGAGGAAGTGCTTGGGGGCCACTGCTCCCTCCCTTCTGTCCTGGGTCGCTGGTGTCCCATCTCCTGTGCTGACCCGGACTTCTAGATGGCCTTTTCCAAAGCCCAACGGCCGCCCCAGCCCTACTTGGCCCAAAGTGCACCAGTGATGTCCAGCAGCAGGTTTCTCATTTCAAAGTCCTGCCTGGTCATTGCTTGGAAGATCCAAATTGGGGTTTGTTCCCCTCTGCCCAGCCTTCTTCCCTCTTTTCTTTGAAGTCTCCAACATCTGGTTTCAATTGAGGGCGAGTAAGGCAGTTTGACGGGCAGTTACCTCTGAGTGTCCAGGCCAAGCACAGTGGACAGGGAGGCCAGCTGCTGTTTCCTCTCTCTCATTCACACGCCCTGCTCCCCTCCCCCCTGCCTTGCTGGCCCCCCACGCCCCTGCCTGGAGCATTCCCTCCGCCCACTGGTTGGCTCATTCTGCTCTCTAACATTTCTGGAAACTCTTCTTATAGACCGTGTGGCTTCTTTGGCTTTTTGCAGTTCCCATTTGTTTCTGCATCTAGATCCTTGAATTCACGTCTTCTTTCTTCCTCGAGAAGGAGACCAGGAGAAATTCGGTTGAACGGCTGCAGTTTAAATCATTCCACGAGGCTGCTTCACCTGTTTGTTTGTGTTCCAAATGATTCCTTCTTGCCTGGCCGCCCAGAGTATGTTTTACAATTGAGTTGGAGGCTCTGTGACACAGTGACAAATTTGAACTTACAAATTAGGACGCTTCGAGGTTATTTGCAATTTACTGTGAGCAAGAGGCAGACACGGCAAAGGGAAGTATGAAAGGTTATGTGTGTAGTATTTAATAGCAGAAAGGCAGGAAGTGGAGCGTGGAGAAGCTATTCAGTGTATTTAGCGATTCCTTCAGCTCCTGGCTTTATTAAATGGTATCCTGAAGGGAGCCTGACAAAGGCGCCTAATCACATATAATAGCACCAAGGAACAGGTATAGAAATGGCAGGAACAATGCTCAAGCTTTTTCAGCATCTCATAGAGGCAGCTCGGGGAGGAGGACGCACCCTACCACACATGGACTTACACACTGGTTACACCAGAACTCCTCTGACCTCACCCAGTGCCTGACTCACACTTTCATTCATCTCATAAACGAATGAATGACTGGCATGAGCAAATAAACGAATGGGTGAATGAATCACTGGAAAACTGACTGCCCGCAGTCAGGCCTTGGTCCCACCAGGTTTTGTTGGGTACTAATTGCTAAATTACTTTGACTACATAGAGAAGTCTGCAGATTTACTAGAGAGATTTTTGGCTGCATGGGGGGGGGGGTGGCGGGGGGAAGGCAGTTGTTTTTGCAACACCTGGCCACTTGGCGCTGTGTCCCCTGAGGGCTGCAAGTCACGGAGGTCTCTGACTGGGTTCCAGATCCCTTCTGCCACCTCCACTCCCACACTGAATGCCTCCCAAACCCAACTCTACTTTCCTGTTCTCTCGGAGATCATTAAATTCGCCACACCCTGACTCGAACACACACTCCTAAATTCTGTCACTGGTGGAGTCTAAGACCTTTGGAGTCCACAGGCCCTTCCATTCCTTTACTTGCATGCGCACACAAACCTACATGTCTGGGTCATCCCTCCCATGTCCTCTGGCTTCGTTTAGAGCCTTGGCCATCATAAGCTGACGATTTTCTCCTAGGCGTGTCTCGAGGCCAGGGAGCCTTAGTTCACAAATATTCCATCAGCCTCAGAGGAAGCTGGACGCTTGCTCACTGTCCTTCTTTGCCTTTGCACCCAGCTGTGGCAGCAGGGGTGAGCCCAAAAGCCCAGCCCCGGAGGAACCGCACCCAGGGGGCCATTTTCAACATAATGGATGCACTGAGATCTTGTCAGCCCATTCGGATGGGTGTTGTTCACTTGGTGTGGGGCAACGCCATACCCAGAGCATGGGCGAGCATCCATCCCATCACTGGCCACAATGGCCTCTGTGTTTGCCTGGCCATCTTGGTCTTCTTTGCCTTCTCTCAGAGCTCCCTCTCAGAGACTCAGAAAATTTCCTCACGGCCCTCCCTTTTCCTTCACACAGATTCGAGGCCCACTGTGGAGACGCTGGGACCCACCGTGAAGAGTGAGGAGACCACCACTCTCTACCCCATCGACGAGGAGACAACAGAATGTGGGGAGAACTGCAGCTTCGAGGATGGTGAGGGGCCAGGGCAGTGAAATTTTTTATACAGGAGGACTGGGGGTACTGAGCCCCAGAGGGGAGGGCAGCCTGTGGCAGGACTTAGGGGCCTGGGGGGTCTAGAGCTCGGGAAAAGGCACCAATCAGGGGTTTGGGCAGTGATTGTTTATAACCAGACTTGAAAGCTTCTGGGATATCGGAATTAAGATTCCAGCCCCAACAGGCAAGAGCTTGTTGGGGTTGAAACCACCGTCAACTGTTGATATAAGCATCAACGTGTTGGGGCCGATCAGCTGAGATAAGAACCGTCCTTAGCCCAGAAGGACTTCTCCTTTGAGAGCCTCCTTTTCTAGCCTCTCTGCTCATCCTCAGAATCCCCATCCCGATATCTTAGTCCATGGACCAGGACAAGTGGGCAGCTTCATTGCCATGCCCATGTCTTCCAGCATTCTGCCATCCCCATTGTCCACTGTGCGCCCCAAAATTCAGGCCCTCCTCCTTTGGGTTGGGTTTCCTCCTGGGGGAAATCTGTTCTCCTTTCATTGCATCTTCTAAACGTATCCCAGTGAAAGAAAAGATGTCCAAGTGAGATAAGCGGCAGTCATTGGCAGAACCTAAAAGTCCATCACATTTTTTGTAAGACTCCTACTGCCGAGGTTACCGAGTGTGAGGCCTTTCACGAAGAAACCACAAATTTGGGAACACCTGGCATTTTTGGCTAGAACTTAAAGCTCGACAGCCTCAATTTACAGTAAATTACTGATCATTATTAAATGTCCATTAAACAAAATGAGGCAAGATTGGCAAAGAGACTTGGGAAGGGTGGGGAGAGAGTGTGGGAGCAGCAAGTCAGTGGGTCTCTAGAGAAGTGGCCCAAAGCCCTGGGCTCGGCCACTTGTCAGCGGGAAGAAGGGTGCGCTGGCGTGCGGCTCCACAACACACTACAAAGAAGTACGGGAGGGGAGCCAAGAAGAAATGCTGAAGTTGTGGGGCCGCGAAAGGATAATTTAACGCACATGCTTTTAAGAATGTGCTTTTGTATATTGTGTGGGTGGGGGGAGGACACTATTGGTCAGGGTTAGTTGAATACAGAATTTGACATTTTAATGAACTTGGGGGTTTCTTTCTTTTTTTTTTTAATGAAAGAAAGAGACTTGGGGAATCTTCCAAAATATGTTTAAGGCAGTCAAAAGCCAAACGGGGAATGCATAGGGAATGAATATACGGTATTGGATTAGTAGGCTTAGCTTGGTGGAGGGCGGGAGGAGGGGCGTTCGAACTAAAAGGCCATCCAAAAGCAAATTTCAGGGTTCTGCTGCAAACATTCAGAAGTTTCATCTCATTTCCCCTTTTATAGTGGCGGGCGACTTTCATTTGAGGTTGCTTTGGTGGTTTCTCCCTTTTTTTTCTCTCTCTCTCTCTCTCTTTTTCCTTTGCAAAAGATCTCTTTGTGGATTTTGGTTCCTGAGATACAGTGCGCATGTAAACATTAGAGAGGAATTATGGCCTATTGAATTACTCCATATTTTTCAATGGAAAAATAGAAATCCAGAAATTGTCGGGAACAGAGAATGGTGAGGGCAAAGGGCGGACTTATCCAAGCCACAGGTTGATGGTTCTATAATAGATTCCATGTGTTTCTCCTCCGCTCAGGCTGACTTTGGCCAAGAGTGGGCAAACATTATACGTTCTCCCAAGGAGGGGAGGCAACAAACAACACCTCGTGGTAATGTGCCCCCAAGGCCAGCAGAGCCCTCCCCTAAGAGGGGAGCCCTCCTCATCCACACCCCTGATCTAGTTTTCCACTAGGTTGCTGCTTCCTGTTGACTTCCTCATGGGCAGAACTATGTTCTGAGCTTCCCCCCTCCAGAAATTCTCTCAGAGAGCCCTGAGAAAGGAACTGAGAAGCCCGAGGACCCCACTTCCTCTCTGCTCTCAGGATCAGCCAGCATTTTGCTGTTGTTCCCGCTGCTGACGGAGCATCCAGATCTGGGCTCCCATTTCTTCTCTTTTCCATCCCTTATGTGCACCCCGACCTTCATTCCCTCATCACATCTTTGGCATCCATGCATACTGAATTTTGAGAACTGGGTGGAAACTCAAAAGAAACTTGAGGTTTCATCTTCTGGCCCATGCAGTGAAATGGCCCCACAGATGAAACAAACCACTGAGCAGTTAGATTTCCAGAAAGGGAAAAAAAAAGCATTCCGGGATTCTGGCCTGAAGAGCCATATGCAATTATTCTTCTTCCCTGTGCAGTGAGCTCAGCAGCCGGCTGGTCTGGCACCTTTGTCTCCTCCTCACATGCCAAATCACCCGCCTGGTGGTGCCTCTTCATGGGGGTGCTGAGCAGAGCAGGCTCCAAACCAGAGGCTCTCCCAGAGAGGTGAAGGGTGGCAGACAAGTCTTCCTTGTTTTCTGAGGTCACTTTGTCCTCCCTGCCCGGCACCTCCCCAGCCTTTCAGCCTCCCTGGATGCTAATGGGTTGTCCCATCCCTTCTGAGAGCTAGGTTGGCAGGAGCCAGCCCTCCACTGAGGCTGTGGGGAGACATTCTCCTCTGGCATTGAGGGAACAGCCATTTTCCCATTTGTCTGCTCTCCAAGGTGGACAGAGAGGCGGATGAGAGCCTGAAGCCATTTGGTGGCCTCATTTATAATTGCTTACTATGGGAACCACTGGCAGACTTGGCTTTCGGGCCTGGGAAGGATGAGACCAAAGGCTGACCCGAGAGCCTGCCACCGCCAAGAGGCGTCCAGTGAATAAGCGAGGGAGTCACTGCTTTCTCTCCTGCTGCTTAGGCCTTGCCAGCCATTGAAAGGGAGCACAGGACGGCTGTTCTCGGAACCTGTTTCATGTGCCTGCCTTTGCCTCCCTGCCCCCTTTTACATTTTTTTCAGACAAAGATTTGCAGCTGCCTTCAGGATTCAACTGCAACTTTGACTTTCCGGAGGAGCCCTGCGGTTGGATGTATGACCACGCCAAGTGGCTCCGGAGCACCTCGACCAGCCCCTCCAGCCCCAACGACAGGACGTTTCCAGGTGAGTCCGCTTTGGGTTCCGAGGGGAAAGTGTTTAGGTTTTCTCGGTTCCCTCACAAGCCTCCCTTCTTCTCACCACAAAGTCATCTTCTGCCCTTTTTTCTCGTAATGGCAGTCCAGTCTGGAAGCGGTGAGGAGGAGAGGGAGAAAAGAGAAAAGAAAGAGGAGCGAGAAAGAGGCCCTGAGAGCTGCCAAGAGGTGGGCTCAGACTGTCTCTGTGTCCCTACAACGCTGGCTGTCTCCATCCCTGCCAAGCTGGGCAGTGACCTAAAGGGGTTTGAGAGGATACAAGAGTCCCCCTTCTGAGCCTTCTCAGCGGCCAACATGGCTGTGGTAGCCAGCCAAGTAGGGAGACAGTGACTACCACACCCACGAGTGCCAAGTAGGGCTGCCCAGTGGCCTCCAGGAGAGGGGGACTGCCCACCCTTTCAGGAGTGTTAAGCCACCCCTTTGGGTTTCAGAGAGCCGGATTCAGAAGCTTGTCCTGGGCATTGTTGACACAGAGGGTCAACAGGTGGCCCTTCCGAGCAGGTAGAGGCGGGCACTGTTTGTTCTCTCCATGGTCACATTCTTTCACTGGGGTGAGTATTTAATAAGCAGTTCTCTAGGGAATCTTTTTGAAAACTGCTTGGTAATATTTGCCACTTCAGTGGCGCAAACACTCACTGTGGCTGAGTCTGAGATACCGACATGGCGTCATTGGGGCAGCGCTGAGAAGTGTGGTGACATGACTTTCAGTGTTGTTGTTGTTTTTTTTCACTCCATGAATAACTTGAGCATGGATACCAGGGAAATGTCTTAAAATAGCGAGGAAGTGTGGACTTCTGAGATTTTATCACCTTGAGTTTTTCATAGGAATTATTTCACGTTGCTTTCTCTAACTTGATTTTTGATCATAACGGCATGGAGCAACTAGCTTCTACAATTGCAGAACATTTAGCAGTTGCCTCTCACAGATTGTTACCCAGTGGCCCCCTCACACTACTCATTAGCTTTCCGTTTTCCCACACCCCCTCACTAGACCTGTGGACCTGGATGAAGGATTTAGAGGAAAAGGGTTAATTCCGGGAATGAGTAGATCAAGTGTTCCTGACAGCATGAAAGAAGGGAGGGGCCACCCCCTCTGCAGGGGTTCTGCTGCCACTCCACCCAGGGGACAGTAATGGGCAGGCCCCTGGAGAGCGCTGAGGGCCGACCTCCCCACATAGCCCAGAGTCCTTTCCCAGAGGGCCACAGCGTCTGCTCTGGAGAAAAACATTTTCATATTTCAAGTGTTTATCTCTTCAGCTTTGGAGTGCTCTGAGAGATTAATATCTGAAGATCACCACAGCCCCGGGCAACAAGAGAGAACACTTACCCTCATCCCAGCCTTAATCACCCTCCCCCCTCTCCTTCACTGCAATAATGTTTAATTAATATAATGAGCCTCCTGCATGTTGGTGAAAAAAAAAAGACTTATTTTTATAACCCAGCCTGGATTTTTCATTTCATTTCCTCCCCTTTGAGACTTGGCCCAATTAATTGGTTGTTTTGCCCCCTCCCTTTAAAAAAATCTGAACATAACGCAGGATTGTGGGGTATATGCTCATGTATGTATGCAGAGTGCTTATATAGAATCATGGGCTAGGAGTGTGTGCGTTGCTGAGCTTTTGTTTCTTTCTGAAGGTGTTCATGTTTCTTTGTGTGTGCTTTACTATGTGTGTAGCTGTATATATGTTCGCAGATATGCAGCTTACAAGTAGGTCTTATGGGTAGGTTGTGCATGTTTGACTTGAGTCTGTGTGTGTGATTTGTGTCTTCATTGTGTGTGTGTGTGTGTGTGTGTGTGTGTGTGTGTGTGTGGTAAATCAGGGGCAGCTTAGCAGAGACAGGGGATTAAAGACAACACTGCATCTAAAGATTTTTCTGGCTCATATTCAGCATCTCCCTCTGGTTCTTTCTAATAACTCCTGCCCCCACCTTCCACTCTTCCAAACAATTGTTCCTGAGCCACCAGTTAGCAAGTGATCTTCAAGGAGAACTTATGTTATTCTCCACTGGACCCCAGTGTTTGTTACCGCCCGTCCCCCGCCTCCTGCCCTCACCTGCAGGCCCTGCCAGGCGACCTGGCTACTGGTTGGGAATTCTAGTCCTTGTCCTCATTCCAGTTGATTCATTACACCCTGCGGTTTGGGAGGGCCTTTCAGAGCCAGCTCACACAGCAGGCACAATTCCAACCTTTGGCTAAATGGATGGGGACAGAAAGAAAATTAAGGCCATAAGGAACTGCTCGATCTAATGTTACTTCTCCCTTAAGATATTGAGAAGGAAAATAATTATTTTCCTTTTCCAGAGGAGTCCCTGAAGTTGGGAAAAGTGGCACTTGTAACCTGCCTCGAGAAAGCAAAATCATAATATTGTTCTCTGTGCCCTTCCCCTCTTCTCAGATGATTTAAAAAATCATCTGCTTGTTTCCCAATTCCCTTCTCCTCCAAGACTGGATGCCAGGCTCTAAGTGAGAGAGGATAGAAAGCCCTTTCTGTTCCGGGTGGTCCTTTCTTGGAGAAAAAAAAAATGGGGCCCTGTGGGGAGCAGTTGGGAGAGAGGAAACAGCTGTGCTTGCTTAGGGGCAGGGCAAATGCTAATGGTTCAGTCAGTGGACCTTCCAGGCCCAACCTGAGAGCTGTCTGCGGCACCTACACTTTGCCCCTCCACAGAGCAGAGGTCAGTCTGCTCCGGGCCAGAAGTGTGCCATCTGCTTGTCATTCTGATTGGAGACCAAACAGAGCTAATTAATTTAAGAGAAGGTGTCTCTGTCAAGTAGAGAGGGAGTAGAGAGATGGGAGAGAAAGGAGGAAGGAAAGAAGAAGAAACGTCCGTGTTGAAATATCACACAAGGGCTATTTGAAGTGTCTGTGGAAACAACATACATTCCTGAGATAGTTTCTGATTTAGTTGTCTTCTCGTGTTTTCGTTTTTTCTTTTCCTTTTAAGTAAGCAATTAGTTGTGTTCTTTTGGCGAGCAGTGTTGGTTGCTTAAGGCAGACAAGACACCCACTGGTTTCATTCCACTGTTTTTGTTTTTCAAGCTAGTTCTTTCAAGCCACTCAGAATTTCTTTTTTTAGCTCTTTGCTTATGGCTTAGAAGCCTGGCGTGTGTTCTTCCCACTCCCTGGGGACCCTGTTCAAAACTCAGTGACCCCTTGTGACTCAGAGAAGTCTCTCCCATGTTCCAGAGGCCACTTTGCCTTTTCTCTGTAGTGGCAATGACACAAGGAAAAGTGTCTCCCCAATGGGAGCTGCTGTGTTTTCAATAGACATCATCAAGTGTGTTAGTCATACACTATTCTGAAGAGGAGATTCAGGTCTATAAGGGACAAAGCCAACCTGTTTTGAGGTGATATCGTGAGGCTGCTGTTTAGAGCTGCATTGGTTTATATGGCAGCTACTAAGTCATATAGTGCTTTTGGTTTTTATTTAATTCAATAAAATTAAGTACAACTAAAACTACACTTCCTCCATCACACTAGCCACATTTCCAGTGCTAGAGAAAACAGATAATGGACATGTGATCATTACAAACTGTTGGTTTGGTCAGCTCTGCTGAGGGTCTTTATGACATTAACATGAGAGTGAGTTACCTCCAGGGGCCCTTACTGCTGCGATGTTCCCTAGTTCAGTTCCAAAGAGGAAGCAAGTCATCAGAAGATTATGACTCCTCTTGGTCCTTTGGTGGGAATGTTCAGTGACTGACGGATTTGTCATATGCCTTTCTGCCTCTATGAGCAACCATAATAAAATAAGCACATAACTCAGTATTCGGTGGTATAGGAGCTCTTTCATTCTGTCAGAAAAGAACTTCTCAAGTAATACAAAAATACCAATAAATTGTCAGGAATGAAAAAGAAATACTAGAAATTCCAATTGTTTTCAGGAATGAAACAGGAAGACTAGAGATCAAAGATATTACACCAGATCCACTTCAGAATGCTTGAGTGTATGATCTCTCCAAATGTGTGCTCTTTAGACATTTGTCAACCTTGTGATCTGTGATTACAGACTTAACTTCATTTTAATAACTTCAGATGATGGAAATGATATAAAGGAAACAGACAGAGCTAAATTGAAAGTTTGCATCATTTCTGAGACAATGGAGCAGAAGTCGGCCTCACATATATGTATTTATTGGATTGAGAGATCAGAGCCTTTACTTTGCTTCAAAATAAAGCTTAAATAGAGTTAAGTCAAGCATCCCAAAGTTTTGAAATGTTCAGATTTTACAAAGAGTAGCTTGTTCATCAAATGGAAATATACACTTGTTAACTTCTCATTGAGACTGCTGTGATGCCATTTGGGGCATTGAATACACTCCAGTAAGGGGGAGAACTAGGGCTGTGAATCTCTGTGGGACATACACTTAAGAAGGGTAAATAGGGATAGTCCGGTCAGGGTTGATGGTTACAGAGAAATCCAGGAAAATAATTGATGAATGAACTTGCTTGCAATGGACTTGATGTTTGGTGATGAACAAGGAGTGACTCTGAATACAAAGCAACTCTCTGAACTCAGAAGACCTTCCCCATAGGTGAGATACTGGATTGGCATTCACTTAAATAGCTTCAGAAAGAGGTTGCTGTGGTTTGGCTGGGGCTTGGCAGCCATTGTAAACACCAAGTTAGGAAGCTCTGGAGCTTAGACGGTGAGATAATTAAAGACCAAGAACAGCCTGGCTAAAAGGAAACTAATATTCAAGGCATCAATTCAATTGGAAAAGATAAGTCCTTCTTTAAGGAAAAGAAGAAAAAGACTGTGGCACTGTAGAATAAAAGACAACAGGAGAGAAAAGCCTAGCTTTCATTTTCCTGATAGTCATGATTTGTCAAGTTCACCAGCCATGAGGTAGGTCCTTGATAACAAAGGGGCAAGATGATAACAACATGGCCTCAATTGCAAAACTGCTTGGAAACTGACATACCTCGAAACAGCTTTCAGTAGTCTCCTACAGAGAGCAGATCCACAACC